AACTACCAGCGTTTTAAAGAGTACTGACCTTTCACTTTAATTAATAGAACAATAATGCATTGTTGCTAATGAATGTTTGTGTTGAACAACGGCAACACTGACAATGTTTTCATGGTCCTTTATTTAGAGAAGACCAGGAAATTGATGATACACAGTTGTGTAAAAATCAATTAGGCAGCAATGACTCTAAATAATATGTCACAACCAAACAGATTAAAACTAAAGTAACCAGGCCTTTGAATTAGAAGTACAAAAGTACAGGTTGTGTTAAAAATGTAAGAAGTAAAGTAAAAGCGTGGAGTAAAGTACTGTACCATAAAATGTACTTAAGTACATACGAGATGTGTACTAACTAGCTTCCCACCTCTGGTTTTAGATATTGATAAAACCAGAGGTGGGGCTAGTTGAAGTACACATACTTCTTACTGTACTTAAGTACATTTTTATGGTATCAGTACTTTACTCCACACTTTTTTACTTTTACTTCTTACATTTTTACCACAAAACCTGTACTTGTACTGTCTACATTTTCAAACAGGCTGGTTACTTTGTTTTAATCTGTTGGTGTTGTGATCAATATTATTTAGAGCATTGCGTGCCTATGATTTTTTTACACAATCTGTGATCCAATATGTCCTGGTCTTCTCTAAAGAAGAGGGACCAATGAAAACATTGTCATGTTGCCGTTGTTCAACATCAAAACATTCATTAGCTAACAATGACATTATTGTTCTATTAATATAAAGTGAGGTCAGGTACTCTTTAAAACAGCTGGTAGTTACTTTTTACTTAAGTACATTTCAAAGCCCATACTTCTTTACTTTTACTTGAGTAAAAAAGTTTAGTCAGTACTTTTACCAGAGTATTTTTAAACACGATTATCTGTACTTCTACTTGAGTAAAGGATGTGTGTACTTTTGTCATCTCTGTCTAAAACCTTCAACTTTTTGCCTTTGACCTTTTCAGGGTATCCTAAACCCTATGCAAGCGTTCCTCAACACCCTGGCCTTTCACGGCTGGACAGGCTTTGATGTTGACTTCAGACTGCAGCAGAGGAGGAAGCTGGCCTGGGACTCCGCTTCTACTTCAGTGCCGAACACAGCGGCGCTCGATCCCACGGTGGGCACCACTCTGCTCTACCAGAGCCATGTCCAGGAAGCAAAGAAGAACATGATGAGCAACGGACAGCACTCTGACGCCATCAGCGTGCTCTCAGAAGGTAATTGGGCTAGTGCCAGTAACAGCTCACCTGTGTATCAGGGCTGGTGACGCTCTAAAGCTTCCTGACGGCTGCATGCAGAGATGGCAACAGTACACACATCCTTTACTCAAGTACAAGTACAGATACTCGTGTTTAAAAATACTCTGGTAAAAGGGAAGTACTGATATGAACTTCTTTTCTCAAGTAAAAGTAAAGAAATATGGGCTTCGAAATGTAAAAAGTAGCCATAACTACCAGCTGTTTGATAGAGTAACTGACCTCACTTTATATTAATAGAACAATAATGTCATTGTTAGCTAATGAATGTTTCCATGCTGAACAACGGCAAAATTACCAAGTTCTCATTGGTCCCTCTTCTTTAGAGAAGACCAGGAAATGATGGATACACGGATCGTGTTAAAATCAACAGGCACGCACCAAACCAAACACACATTAAAACTAAAGTAACGAGCCTCTTTGGAAAATGTAAGAAGTAGAAAATACAGGTATTTGTGTTCAAAATGTAAGAAGAAAAACAACACTACTTCCCACCTCTGGCTGCTTATATGAAGCGTGTGATTTATTTTAGGGAATCATTATACTGTGATATTATCTACTGAGAGATGTGTTTCTAATGAGGAAAGCTTTTTAATTTGTTTATAATGGTGATTGGTGACATTGACCAGCTTGAACTTGAAGCTCTCTGTGATTCGTTTTTAATAGTCAAGAAAACTCCTTCTGGATGCAGTAATGAGGCATTCAGGGTCATGAACCCCCGCAGGATTTTCTGTTCTATCCACGCCGACTGAGTAGCATACAATTGTTATGTATTTTTTGTTCATAATGATCGGGTATTTTCATAATTCAGCATGTGTTTCACCGTGTCAGGGCGTACTTTTTCACATCATGTGTGCAAATCCTGACCTTCTGTTAAGGGTGCTGCAAACTGTGGCTCCTTCACATAGAGCTGTATGTGTCATTATTGAAATGCATCTAAGGACATGCAGAGAACAATGGCACAGCTGTAGATTATTAGGATAAACATGTGAAATACACTCAGTTGCATGTTTACATGGTAGCCATAACTAGAACTAGTCCAGTTTAATACAACAGTCTTATAATTATTCTTTAGGAATGGGAAAAAATGGCCGTTAAGTGAAACTATGTAAAACTTGATAGTGTAGTTTTTTTGTACTGTTCGATTATATTTGTATTGTACTAAGAGACATGTTTACCCTCATTAATATGTATGAAGGGAGCCGCTAATAGTATAAACTTGCAACTAAGATTAAAAGCAAGACAGTTGTATTAAATCACTTTAGTTTTAGCTAGGTTTACCAAATAATTGTGCTACTGAGTGTATATTGAACATCGATTTGGTGTTTTTTTTACTGGGACACATTTACTTTTGTTACTTTGAAATGTCTTCTGTGCTGTTTCTATATTACTAAATGTATTTTGGGATGATTTGGTAAAGCATTTTATACAGTATTGTTTGTGCACAATGTAGTAAATGTACGAAGTCTATTCAATGTTTTGTGTCAACATTCAGTGTCAATTCATTAGAAATAAAGTAATGATTTTTTAAAGGATTTATGTTTTTCATTCATTCATATAGATTTGACTCCGTCTTCCACTCATATTCTGGTATAGACATGAAAATCATTAGACTGCATTTTCAGGATATGTTAACATTCCCAAAATACATTTATTAATAAAAGCACATTTGTGCTGAGGGATGTATAAATCAAAGATCAGCATCACAATAGATACGTCCATTGATGAGCTGTGAAGGTGTCTGTGCAGTAACACCCAGTATTCTGCCTTATTTTCTCTCGGTAGGTTCAGAGTCTAGTACAGTTGAATTCCACATTTCCAGCGAGCTACGAGAGTATGAGGATGTAGACGCTGACGGAGAATCCTTGGAGAACTCTGTGAGGCACTAGCTGAACAACCCGCCTCCCTCTGCTACTCCTGTGGGACATTTTTCTTTAAGTTAGTTGTTTTAGGATGTATTCTCTTAGCCTATTTTCTCCAGATCTTAACTGGTCATGAGATTTCATTAGTCGGTAAAACAGAAAAAGTCTAATTCTTGATTCTAAGCCTTTCATTCCTTCCTAAGCTTTTTTCAATCTGTTTGTACAGTGTAGTACTGTAACTGAAGCTGAACAGTACAAACACAATATGTCACTGTCTCTTTAGAAGCCAGTCAATGGAACAAACACGACATTTAAATATTACCAGCCAACAGGCTGACCTTTCAAAGTGCCTTCAGTAAATAATGATCCCGTGTGATTTACTACATTAATGTCATTAACCTCTGAAAGCATGACAGAATGTAATAAGCTAACTAGTGTCTGTTTTTTTAAATAATTACTGTATTTACGGTTGTCCATCTTGTATTTTTGCACACATCTATTTTGTACTATATTACATTTCAAAAATATTTGAAAACATTTTGTTGATGACACTTTTTGTATGTCTTGAGTGGTTGCAGACCAACACAAATACTTCTGTGCTAATTAAAACGCAATTAAACACACAGGCTCCATGGTTTCTGATATCAAAATAGAGTGATTTATTTGAGACACTGAATGAATTCAACGTTTTGTCTTTGAAACGGGTGACTGCACCCCGGACCAGGGCGAGAGAGATAGAAGCCGTCACAGCACTTATTCCAAACCGGGCTCCTCAGCATGCCAACAACGGCGACCATCCCACAGCTCGATTCTCAGTCTGACACAGACAATAATGGCTCTCAGCAAATGGAAAAAGTACAGAAAACAATGAACCACCCATTAACATCCAATTTTGACATTAAAAAAAGAGAAAAATAAAACATTGGCCGTTCAACTTTCAGCAAAATCGGAACATTTGCAGTATTCACCATTACAAAAAGTGCACTTGACATTGCTCTAGCAGACATTGAGTGAAAGGGTCCAGGAAAAGGCTAATCAAAGTGGTGGCAGGTTGGTTTGAAGTTACTATATTTTCCATGAGATCCCTGTCAGCAACACTTACTGCACATTGGTGAAGCTCGGCCCACAACACCAGCATTTCAAATCTGACCAGCCAGCGGTATGTGGCGGGACTTAACATAAGATTTTTTTTTTTTCTTAACGTCAGCAGGACTTTTGCTTGATCTCCACCTTCTGGTCAAAATGTGCTCTGATTTTCAGTAGATTGTTCAGAGGGAAGTGCCAAAGAGAAACCATGGTAATGCTAAATGTAGCCGTACTTGTTTCCTCCTTTAGGTCTGCATTATACTATTAGCATTGTTCTTATGATGTCCTGTTCCACGTATAATACAAAGTCAGGAGACTGATTACTCTTCTCTCATATTGCTGAGCTGATAATTGCCTGAATGCTGGTAAGGATGGCTTTCAGGGATCAATGGTGGAAAGCAAAGCTGCTTAACACATCTGTGTCAACGCTGTTTGTGACTCACCGAAAAACAAAACGATGCATTGGATATGATTGAAAAAGACTGTATTAAAAGAAGCTGATGACACATGCACTTCATTTAAAAAGAGGTCTTGCCAAGCATTATCAGCAAGGTGTGACAGCTAATGAGCCCCTACAGGATGGCAATAAAGTGTACTGTATATAAACATATATACACAGTATATAAGTGTGTATTAATCTAATTTACATATCTTTACATTCTTTAATTTACATCCAAAAAGGGAGAAAATTCTCTTTGTAAACCACACTTGTCCAGAAAATGACTTTTTCTAATCTCAGGTCACTTTAGGAGGTTAGGACTTTTTCTCGGCAGGTTTTCCTTTTGTTGACCCGATGTTAGATGTGAGCTGAGAACTACCTTGGAGCGGCACATTCAATTTTGACTTTCAAAAAGTCCATCTGTGGGGGAAAAGCAAAAAGTACTCTTGAAACAAACTATTCCCCACTGAGAAGAAGTAAAGCACACTGTCCACAACACCAGTGCATCAGTTTGATCACGTCCACAGTTGGTTCGTTTGGACATGAGGTAACATTTGCTCAGAGGAAATCTCAAACCACACCCTTTCTTTCCTAATTTGTTTCCAAACACATGTCGCATTAACACTTTTTTCTCTTTATATAAAACTCATCTTTGCGTTTCCACCCTACACCCCGATAACAGCTGGACACGAGGCCCGGAGGGACGGCAGCACGTTCTCATTAGAAACCTGTTAAAACACGGATGCACCCAGGGAGTTGGAATCCATCCTGTCTTCGGGATCTCTTAACCTGCCTCCATTATGTTTCCAATGGGCATATCATAAAAACACACATCAACAAACTTTAAGGTGCACTGAAGTCAGTTGGTGTCGTTTCCTCAGAGGCTTCTGCAGTCATATGGTTTAACTCCTACGAGGGGCTTCGCTCCACCTCACAGCTCTAACTGAGCAAAGAGGGTTTGTTGCTGACGTCAGGAGAAGGCAATCCGCACATTCCAGGATTCATCAACAGAGTCTCAAGACAGCTATTTTCGGAGATCAAGAACACATACCTAGAGGGCAAAGATTAGGGAGCATTAATAACACATTTGAACATTCCTTTTTTATAACTTTTAGTACTATTAATGTGTTCAGACAATTTAATTTGCAGGCACCAAACCAAGTTAAACAATACCAAAGTACGTCAAGTAAAGTTACGGAAGAGGATTAGGGCCACGAGGAAAAAAAAGAAAAGCCGGAATTCTAACTTTTTTTTTTTTCGTATACATTTAAGAAAAAACAGCTAATAGTAGTGAATCACATAATCATAGTCCCAGTGGGCGGGGCTTACCGAGCCGTCGGACGCGCTGCCACCAACTTTGTCCCCGGTGCTGTTCCAACACACCTCGAAAATACCTCCAGTCCCCCTGTAGCTGTGCACCAAGGCGCCAGACTGAAACAAGAGGGCAAACGTATTAATGACCGTTCCTTAAAGATGAATCCTCACAATGAATCCCCCCCCCTCTGCTGTTTGAGACCCTTACCATGGTGTTCCAGATGTGGACACACTTATCGAAGGAGCCGCTGGCCAGGTGCTGGCCGTCGGGGCTGAAGGCCACGCTGTACACGGGCTCCTGGTGCTTGGTGAGCGTGTGAATACAAACCCCCCGCTCCACATCCCATAGTCGCACTGTCGAGTCGAAAGAGGCACTGTGGGTGTGGAAAATGACTGATTTAGAAAACAATATTTGCCAGTCATGAAAATGAAGTTCAAAGGAATTCGTTTCTTCAGTGACTGCACAAGGACTTTAAATAGCATTCAATATTTTAATAGATTTCTGATGCGGTGAATGAAGCCAAAAAGCTCATAAATCAATACAAATTCTCATCATTTGTGTTTTCGTTAGCATCAGTTTTGTGCTCAGCGATTTCAAAAAGCCAACAAGTGAAACAGCGACAGAAAACATCTTGGAAACAATTAAGAAATGCTCCTTTAAAGGGAAAAAACGACACATAAAAGATTGTGTGAATAAGACTTGAGACACTGTTAAACAAAATGATGATAATATAAGGAGGATTTCAATTAACACATCTTTTTCACCCAGGTATAAATAGACAGGGCTAATCTCCTATGGGAGCCTTTGGCAACAAATGAGAGGGAAATCAGAAAGATATTATGGAGGGAGCAAAAGTGAAGTCAATTAAAAATGTATTGCACACGTACTGTTTAACGTTGCCATTTACTTAAGGATTATCAGGTTCCTTCTGAGCGGGGACAACAATGGCAGTTTTATGACAGAGCGGATTACAGGCAGGTATGCGGGGTTGTCAGTAAGGGCTGTAAAGTCCTGTGGTATTTGAACTGGAAAATGTACACATGTACGCACATCTGGATCATGGTGTTGAGCTGTCGGCCACTGACAGTAAATATTACTGGGAACACGGTTTCTTCTGAATGTCAGGCTATGACAAGTGTCCCCTTCCCACTCATATACACACAGCTTGTTCTGGGCACACAAACTTGGACTTTTCTTGAATTATTAGGAACATGATTGCTCTTTACGGTGCTGAACGTGAGCTATGTGTGACCCACCTGGCGAGCATGATGTTGGAGTTGGGGTTGCTGGTGCCGGGGCCCGTGGGGCTCCACTTGATGGTGTAGATCTCCTTACTGTGAGCCTGGAGGTCGTGGACACAGGCGTCCTGCTTCATACTCCAAATCTGTGAGGGGAACAGCAAAGTGTGAATGGAATCACCTTTTGAGGTTTGTTGCCTTGAAGCTCTAAAGACTGAGGGGCTCACCTTTAAGGTCATGTCGTCTGAGCAGGAGGCAAGCAGCATACCTGATGGGTCCCACTTAATGGCATTAACTTCATTCTGTAAAACACAACAATGTGTTAGCAGCCTGTATCTTATCATGGGGTGAGGTCAGAAGAGCCACGCAGGAAGAGTTGCTCACCGTGTGGCCCTGGAAGGTCTTGAGGGGCCGGTCGCTGCCGAGGCGACACACGTGGATGCACATGTCCGTGCTGCAGGAGGCGAAGGTGGTGTTGTTCTGCCAGTCCACATCCAGGGCGGGGGCTGGGGAGTATTTGGAACAAAGGTTTATTGTACAAATCACAACAGAGCGGCAAACATGTTGCATCTTGTTCTGCAATGATGGTTTTTCCAATGTGTTGATACATGGTGAACTGGCTTACCGGAGTGGAAAGGGAACTGCTGCTTTGCCTCTCCTGTGTGTGCGTCCCAAATGATTGTCGTCTGTCAAATGGAATTGAGCGTCACAAACCACAAATGCAACCTTTATGAATGCACCATCAGTAAGAATATCAAAGGTTCATAAAACGTTTACTTGAGAACTACCAGGGCGTGACATATTTACCAACAGTTATTCATATGCGTATTCTGCTTTTCATGTCAGTGTAGCGCATACATCTTGTATAAATAATGTTTTTTTGTTCATGTGTATATGGTTACATGCTGCATGTGCAATATCTAAATAACGTATGTAAAATAAATCTAATTCTGGGCGTTATGTGCTGAGTTTACAGTGCACAGAAGATTTACTGATAGCACTGCAGTTTGCTCTGTGGTTTATGAATACCAGAAAAATGATATGTTACAGATTTACACTCTGGCTCTTGATCAAACAGTCCATTTCAAGGCTAGCACTGTTAAAGAAAGAATAACACATGAGGATATTATTATTAAGACACAAATCTTGTGGGCCATTACGAAATACCTTATCTACACCAGCGCTGAGAATCGAGTTCCCCTTCTTGTTCCACTTGAGTGCAAATATTGGCCCTTTGTGCTGTCCCAAGGTGCTTGCCAGATTTCCTAATGGATTAGAGCCATATCCATTTCTTTTAGAAATGATCCTTCAAAAAATTGTCACAGAGGTAGCATTATTCTCGATAACAATGGCATAGACCTAATGACCGAGAGACGACACCGTGCT